GCCCCCCTTCTCTGGGCTGAGGGACCCTCTCAGCATGCTCCCGGCTTGGAGGCTTTGCTCCACAAATTATATCAGGACTTCAGGCGGCACCAGGAATCTGCCAAGCTCATTTGAAACACACAGCATTCAACCAAACTGTTGTGTCCTCAGCCCACTGAGTACAGGGTCTGACACCTGACGTCCTAAAGCTACTTCCCTCCTCCTGGCAGGAAGGGGTGGCAGGAGCACCTGGGAACGCTGTGCTCTCAGGAGTAAGACAGGGCCCGTGGCCGGAGTAACTTGTCCCCTGGTGGGCGTATCAACCCTGTGAAGGGGCATCGTCACCATGTTTCAGATGGAGAAACTGAGGCTCCGAAAGGTTAATCAGCCAAAGTGACGCGGGTCATAACAGAGCAGGGCCGAATGGCGATCCCACAGCCTCTGGCCTTCCCACAACACCGAGCCGACGTCTGTGAAACCGAGGAAAGGGACGGAGAAGCGGATCGCCAATCCACAGGCGGCCCCTCCTCCTGTCAACATGTGTCCGCGTTCCACAAAGCGGCTTCACACTGTTTTGTCTGTGATCTCCAGCACAAACAGCTTCACAAAATAATACTTGCCCTTTCTAGCCCGGCCAGCGTGGCTCAGTGGGTGAGCATTGACCTATGAACCAGGTGGTCCGGGTTTGATTCCTGGTCAGGGCACAGGCCTGGGTTGCAAGCTCGATCCCCAGTGCGCAGGAGGCAGCCGATCAATGATTCTCTCTCTCCCTCCCTCTCCCTTCCTCTCTGAAATCAATACTATATTACAAAAGGGTAATATGCAAATTGACCCCAACAGCAGAACGAACGCTGGACCAGTCACTATGAGGCACACGGACCACCTCTTGGTCCCTTTCCCCAACCATCAGGCACCGATCACCTGATGGCGAACGGGGAACCAGGGGTGGGTGGCAGTGGGGGGGCAGGGCCGGCTGTGGGCAGCTGGAGAAGATGGCCCTGGTTACAGGCCAGGCCTAGGGACCATATCCCCACACACATTTTGTGCGCCAGGCCTCTAGTAAAAATATATTTAAAAACAAAGCCACAGCCTGGGTCAGATCACCAAGGAGGGCCTGGAGGAGGAGGGGGAGAGCCCCGAGCAGCAGCTCAGCTGGGCCGAGGCTGAGCCAGGGGAGAGACCGAGGAGGACGGGCCGTGTGGCAGGTGACCGCACGGGAGGGGGAGGCAGAAGAGGTTGGTACGATGAGGAGAGGGACCGCGAGATGAAGCGGGACTGATTGATAAAGGCAACGCTTTCAAGGAGCTTGCCGGGAGGGTTGCAGAGAAATGGGACAGAATTTGGAGAGAACGTGAATCCAGAGAGGGATGGGGAGAGGAGGGTGAGTGCAGGGGTGAGGAATGAGAAGGCGAGGGGGTGGGAGTCGGGCACCTCCCCCTGCAGGACCAGAGGGTGTGGTGCAGGGGGTTTCGGGGTCGGCAGTGCTCCCATCTCTTTTCCCTGAAGAGACGCTGGTGCTGCCGCTCCAGACGCATCACAGTGCACAGTGCCAGCCCCTGAGCGGGCACCACTCCGGGGAGCCCTGTCCTGTGCACTGTGATGCCGGGCGGGGAGCAGCACACAAGGGTAACATCACAGAGGCAGCCTCGTTCAAGGGTGGAGACCTGAGGAGCCTCCGGGGGCTGTGCCGG